GTCGTCTAACCACCTTCCCCATACTAAACAAGCTGAAACAATCCTTCCGCCCATCCAGTGGTTAAGATGCTATGAATGTGGCTGTGAAAAGACTGTTTATACTTTCCCTTTCCCCCCTTCTCTATTTGTTGCCTTTCCTTCATTGTTATCATCTTCTTCCTCCTGCTTCTCTTGTCATCACAAACATTGTAACCAACTGCAAACTTCTGATTATCCGTTCCGACTACTGCAACCTCTTCTTTAATAATACCTTTTTTGTTATTTTTCTTGATAAGTTTTTGTCCTTTCCGTGCCACTAGGGAGGCTGGCTGTCTACGGAGAAGAGCCACACTACCTGAGAATTGATGGAGAAACATGGTCGATAGGCATCCTCCTAAATGCTGTACTCCTTTTCCATGATCTCCGACCTTCCTTGATCTAGTCGCCTTTTTTTCACGTCCGCTAAACTTGTTTAACTCATTTCTGCTTCCTTAGCTGCCTAAGCTGCTGCCTTCATTCCCATTAAAAGCCACCGTGGCTGAAGACGGGAGCCAGGAGCCAATACAACTGACACTCCGGTATGGTATGGTATGAGACCGGATTTAACTCAATCAAACTGGTAAAATTCCTGTCTGTGGTCGGTCAGGACTATGTAAGTTATACTTATAGTCAGTAAGTACCAGGTAGTTATTATTGTCGACCAATCCAGGGCCAATTCTGCTTTTATTAGCTGGTCCTTTCTTTCTATGGCTTAATTTTACCTAGAAATCCATTCCCCCCCGTTCCGCTCCGGCTACTGAATATTACTGAGTTGCATGTCGTCATCTTCGCTATCAATCGCCTGTTCGAGTCTCTTGGAAGCTATATGTATGTAGGTTGAGAAGTAAGTCTCTAGATCAGGGCGTAGTTACTGAGAGGTAGTTCGAGACCCGGAAAAGATGGTTTCAAGGAAGCTTCCATCATTCGGTACATTTTTGAAAACCATTACTAGTGTTTCTGCGCCCATGAACTTTCACAATATCCATCTTTAGTTACCGTCGCTGTCCTATATATACAGAGAGGCCTAGACGCCAGTCGGCACACTGGCGGGGAGGGTCCTCGGGCTTCCATCTAACCATCAGTGCTGTATGATGGGCCATGCTTGTTGGCCGGGCTCTGTAGTTCCATACTTCAAGCGGAAATCACCGATTGCCCAAGATAGCTGGTGTCCAAGCTCGAGCACAGCTAGACAGTCTTTTCTACATAACGTCCAGTCTAATCAACCCCTACGATGCACCAGGAGAGTGATTGGCATGAGCTTTTCTGTCAAGAAGGAACTCTGGCGGCTTTTAGCAGCGATCACCGAATTTCTTCTAACCGTCCAACAAGTATAGATGACGTGTGTGTTCTCACCTGAGAGGCATGGGGAGTGTATGCATCTTTGCCTGCTCAGTATGAATTACTGAAAATCGAATACCCTGGCAGAAGATTCGATTTTCGCTCGCATCGACCGATTCCCGAGCCAGAGATACGTGGCGGTGCAAATGATCTTCAATGCCCCCTAATCATGCTGCTACAGTACGTACTCTCCTCCCTGGTCAACGTCATCAAATGGGACCGGAAAACCACCCTAGTAAGTGCGGTCGACCCCATGAAGCATATTCTCATTTTTGTGACGTGCTCTTTCTTCCTATGCAGCTTTCAGTATAAACCAACGCACTGCAGGCATCCTTCCATGGTTATGGCGGTCGACTCAATTCGCATTGTTGACGTTGTAAGCAGAAAGCAGAGAGAGTACTAACTGTACATACAGTACTAATTACTGCAAGTCCATGCAAACATACAGTACATTACAAGCGTCGACTACGAGGTTATAATACCCGGGTATAGCCTTGCCATCTTTCAGCCACAGATAACCTGGCAGCAGTAGCCTTGCAGTAGGTACTCGTTGTACGGAGTAGCGATCGTACATATGCACACCGTAATCGTATTCTTTGTTCAGATCGTCACCGAGTGGCTCGTTTCCAATCAGAATCGCAGGGCTGTTGCGCTAATGCTGTGCCAGTTCTAAGCTGAGTGCTTGTTGATTGGACCGCCCCGTGCATACTGAATTGACTACCTACCTAACATTCGGTGAAGCTGCTTAGACCTTGACGTTTGGTTGAGGCGGAGGCGACCCTCGCGAACACTATACATCGATCACAGCTGCAGCTGGGGAAGAAAAGAGGCTAGATCACTGTTGGGGATGATGATCGGGCCTATATCTGTCAACCTCTATGGTAAGCAAATCTCGCAATATGTGGGGGTCTGATGTGTTGTCGACCTTTTCTTCCTACGGTTGCCACTGTTAAGCGTGGTTTACACGGACAAGCCTGACGATCGAGCCATAACAAGCCATGCGAGCTTGTAGTTACTATGTAGGTATCACTTGTCAGATGAATGGCGAATGAGACAATAGTACTTTCCTTGATCTCCCTCGCATCTATCCGCCATGAACCTGTGACGATTACGCTATTCGTATACACTGTATGACTTGGCCGTCGAGGGACAACTACTCTTAAGGAATTGGATCTTGTCCAATCCTCCTCTATGCCGTCGCCAGGGACGATTGGTTATTGAACCGAGATTCTATGTTGTTAGCTAGGTAGGCTCTGCAGTCGGCTCTCTAATATGTCAGGTCAGAGCCATTGCTACCATGATCCACTCAGATATGGAAAGTGGGCGTATACTAGATTTAGGTGAAAAACCTTTGAGGTCAGATTTAGTATCATGTCTATCCCACGCCAGTCGCGCGTGACTTCGAAAACCCCAATCACCATAGCTTGAAAACACCCATGAAAGATCAGTCTCAAGGTTGGCGATTTCTGCTGTAACCACTTATCTTTAGTTATAAGATGGTAGCTCTACAAGAGGTACTCACATGAGTATAGCTGCACTTAGTAGTACCGACTAACTAATAGTTACTGGTAATAGTCAATGCCCAGACCAAACCCGACTGAAATGAAGGTATCGAATCTGATTGGTGGTGGTCCACGGGTAGACACGTGACTGCAACAGGACCGCAATTTTCCCTTCCCCGACATTCAATCTGGCCGCGATTCCGTGGGTAAGGACGGCCATTGTTGGCATCGCAAACAGATCACCATGCAGAAAGTCATTCAGAGAACGGCGCAGGCCCGGAACCAGGCCACGCGTAAGGCCATCCGGGCGGCCAAAGTGGCCGAACGCGAAGAATACAAGGACACTCTCCGCCAGCGTTTCGCCTACAAGCGCATGGAGCTCGACAACCTCCGCGAGGAAAGGCTCCGACGCCGTGAAGACTGGATGCGTGGACCTCTAGCCCCCCAGCGTGATGCCGCTCTCTCGGGAAGCAAGTTCGGTGCCCTGACTCCGCAAGCATTGAACCCTCCGACCATTCCCAAGCATCTTCGGAGGAAATACATTAACATCGCGGCGGGCGATCGGGTGTGTGTGATGAAGGGCAAGGATAAGGGCAAGATCAATGAGGTCGTGAAGGTGGATGCCAGCAACGAGACGGTGTTGGTGAAAGACCTTAACATGGTACTGTTTGTTCCTGCTCGATCTCGGATCGTCTCACTCGACTGACTGCTGTCAAATCTCAAAACAGGCCGATATCTACTTTCCCGAGTGGATGACCGATCAGTACGGGGAAAAATCCCCCTTCCAGTCTGTCAGCATTCCCTTGTCCTTGGACGATGTTCGCCTTGTGGTCGCTCTCGATGACCCAGTTACCGGCCAAACGCGAGATGTACTGGTGGAGCATGTTTATGGCGGAGGGCCCATCCTCGAACGTGGCTACGGAGTCGAGACCCCTAAACACACCAGATATATTGCCGGTGAAGACATTGAGATCCCCTGGCCTAAGGTCGAGCCCCCAGCGCCAAAGGACGAAGAGTGGGATACCCTCCGTATGGAAGTTGAGACGCCAACTTGGCTGCCATCGCTTCAGTTCGCACCTTTCCCCGCATCGGTCATCGATGAGCTTCGCAATCCCTACTCGAAATACCGAACCAGGCACGATCCTGAGTGGGTGGAGAAGAAGTTGATGGAAGACTACAAGCGGGAATATCTTCAAAGTCAGACTTTGTGGACCCCCTTGGCACACCAAAATAAGGCGAAAAACGCGCCGAAGCCTCAAAGACCCCCGCTTAAAACCCCTCCGAAATACAAGATGGACAAGACGACAAGAGGGTTCATCGAGGCTTTCTTGGAGAAGAAGCAGGCGGCCATGACGAACGCCTAAGCACCTGGTGCTAATAAACCGGCCATTGGCCACTGATGAGAGCAATCACAGCTTCATGGTGGTTCCTTTTCCCCCCTTTTCCCGACGTTATTTCTGGGTTCCACGATGAGTGTACATTAGTGCTGTTTGTAGCATAGAATATGACTTGTATTGAGATCATTAACAATCAAGAGTTGTGAAGGAAGTTGAACTAAAGAACTCTTGACTGCATTAACATGATAATGCCCTGAGACAACCATTGCACCAATAATAGGACGTTCAGCAGAAACTAGTAGGTACTCTTGATTGCAGGTTCGACTTATTTTCCAATTGCATTTGGTGCGCGCACCCGATCGACCAAGCCGCCAGGGATCAGGTAGGTGGGAGTGCAGTCCTTTTCTTTCTTCCATCTTACTTAACCAAAAACTACTTACCTCCACCTCCACCTACCTTGCTATTCAAAGCGCGTCGCAAATTCTCGGTTTGCCCGCTTCATGCAATATCCTCCTTGTCCTGATTAAAATCATATATTATCCATTACCGGATCATCCTCATCTAGCTTGTTACATTGTATTTATTCATTATCCATTGATCGATTCATCGATCATCCTCCTCATCATGGCATTTGCCACAATAAACTCCTCATCTTCAGCTCCTCCACCGAGGAGCTCCGTTATTGATGGTGCCTTTGCTGCCGAACCTGCCCTTAGAAAACGTGTTTACGATGCGATCGGTACGTGAAGACTGTCGGTCACTCCAAGAACCATTCAGTATCCCTCTCCCCACCTCCAACCCCCACATCAACGCTCGCAATGGCTCCAGATGGTGACGCCCAAGACTCGAAAGAACAGAATCATCAAATCACCCCTAATGACTTATCCCTTCTCTGAACAGAGCAAACCCCGCATTATGCGCCGCTATTCGAAGACGTTGCCAGATATACATCCAACCTGCTGGCCAGGTCTGTCGCCAACGCCCGCGTTCAGCCCATCGAGGCCGTCAGCGACGACGGCCCAGCGGCGAAGAAACGCAAGACCCAAAACGGTGGGGATGGTCATACAGCTGCCGCTGCGCAACAGTCCCCGGGCGACTTGAAAGCCGACGCACCACTACAATTCTACATGCAGGATGTTTCCTTCGCTGTGCCGCAGCGGAAGAAGCTTACACTGGAGATCACTGCCGGAGGTGGATTCCTCCGCGCAAGGAATCAGACGTCGAAAGAGGTGGAGTTCGGGGTCGAGTTGGATAAGATCCGTGAGTTGCCTTCTCACACACAAGATCAGTTGCGTTTGCTAATGTGTGCTCGTGTCGTCACTAGAGCACGTTCTGTGTCTTCCAGTCCCGGAAAAGAACCAGCGACAATTCAATTTCTGCATTATCCCCCGATATAGTGATGGCATCAACACTCCTCCGGAAGGTGTCGCTGCTTCTGAGTGTATTGTGTGGACGGTGGCCGATGGGCCACCCAAAGCAGCGTTTTCGGGAACCGGTCAGCAGCTGGGGACAACTGAGGGCGAGAGCGCGGAGAAGGTGGTTCAACAGGTCTTGAACGATAATCTGATGCGGACCAAGGTGATCCGCCCCGATGAGCGCCAATTTGTGAGCGCAATTCCGGAAGCTCATCGGAAGGGGGAGAAGGCTTTCCATGTCAAGGCCCATCGCGGGAGTAAAGATGGTATATCAAACACCCTACTGCAGTGGTATGGCTTGGTCTTTTGACTAACGGTGCTTCACTGTAGGTTATCTTTTCCTTCTTTCTACCGGGATCCTGTTCGGCTTCAAGAAGCCGTTGATATTTTTCGCCTTCGAAAACATTGAATCGATTTCCTACACATCTGTCCTGCAGCGAACATTCAATCTCAACATCCTAGCCCGTCCGTCCGGCAGCGACGAGACCCAGGAGCTTGAGTTCTCCATGATCGACCAGGCGAATTTCTCTGCAATTGACACCTACATCAAAAAGCACGGCCTACAAGATGCTAGTCTAGCAGAAGCCCGCCGTGCGAAACGATACAATGTCAACGGTGCCAAGACCGGAGATGATGCCACTACCACTGCAGAAGGGGTTGCTGAAGCAGAAGAAGAAGAGAGTGAATTGCAAAAGGCACAACGTGAGCTTGAAGACCAAGAGGATGAGGATGAGGAGGACTATGACCCTGGCAGCAGCAGTGAAGATGGAAGCGGCAGCAGCAGCAGCGAGGAAGACGACGAGGACGACGAGGACCAGGACGAGGATGAGGATGAGGATGAGGATGGTGAGGATGATGGTCGCGATCTTGTAGCGGAAGAGCTCGGCAGTGAAGCCGAGGATGTTTCTGCCGAAGAGTTGTAAGAGCTCGCTTGTTGGACCCTGTATAGATAGATTGTTACCACAGCCAGGCCGGCGCAAGGCGGGCCCGATTGATTTGCGCTCAGCACTGGCCAGATACGTTCAGCAGTCGAGCCGCACGCGGGGAGAACCCGGTGGAGAGTGTCAGTCATAGACTATGTTGTCGCCTATCTAGCATAGAGTATCTACCTAATGGCCGTCCTGCTTATTGAGACTGAGCTTTGCACACGTCGGATTGCATCTGACATGGGGAAAGCCGTTTCAAGACTGCATAAGAGACGTTTCAGATAATGGGGTTTGACACCCAATGAATTGTGGATCCTGGATATGTCAGATGCATCGCGCCATCATCAATTGAGGTGTGCCACTGCTGCTGTGAAGTCGGAGGTATTGGAAGCAGGAGGGCTAGGAGTTACATCCTTCCAACTGCGCTACCTTGATGTCGGCAATTTTTTCCCGTCGCAATGGCCGTGGTTTTCAGATCTTGAGCCCTAAAGTACTCGGTATGTAAGTGAGCCTCGTGAGATGATGCTCAGGTACCGCTGGCAGGTTCGTATTCCACACGAACCCAACCTAGTTAATCTAGTGTGGTTGGTAACTGGGGAGAGGAAGGGGGGGGGGCCGCGGTTGATCGAGTGAGTGAGTTGAGAGACAAAAGTGAAGAAGAACAGTAATGATACCTTTCCACAGAACCATGATTGGTAAATCCCCAACAGGTCATCACTGATTCACTGTACGGAGCTAATATCTAGTATCGAATAACTTATCAGTAAATACTTAGATACTACTAAAGCTACTGGACTACATGTTTCGTAATGTATCGTACGGAGGTACTAAAAAGAGACTCCATTTTAGGTCGCAACTCCACCGGCTTCCCCTCTTGGCTAACCGGGACAGTCGTAGCTCCAGACCCTAAGCGTGGTGGCCCCCCCCCCCCCCCTTCTTCTTCCCCCCAGGGCGCAGTCAGGACTGGTCAGGGGTGCAGTTCCAGGCTGCCAGTGCAGTGAGAATCAAGCCACTGGGCATGTTCTCCCATCTTCCCCTTAGTCTAGGCTATCGCTCTTTTACCGATCACCGCCTCAGGGCTTGATTAATTGAAGTCGGGGCACTCGGTCAGATATACATCTGGCGCTTACGGACTTGTACAAAGTAACTACTTGATCTTGGTGAGTTACTGGTTGACAGCTACAATGACGGGTCATTTCTATACCCATTATTGAACAAGGCGATTGGCCTACAATACATGTTTATCTGTCCCTGAGCATTGGATACCGCATGTACATATGAAAAGGCTATGGACCACGATATACAGCATAGTTAGTTAGCGTAATCTACTTGATCATCCATTCATGTTTCCCAATCGTTCTTCTCTCTTTTCTCTTTGCTTGCCAGCAACGGCTCGGCTCTCCCGAGCGCATAGCGCTTATCCTTTACCAATTATAGATGGTCGTTATTACATCAAGATTAATTTAAGACGATAATAATAATAATGATGACAATAATCATCAACTACTCACCACTCTTCCGAGACTCACTGATCGGATAACCGATCGTTAGGTACCTGGCACTAAGGCACATAACAACTGAACCCACCCACTGGCACTACGTAACTAAATCCGACCAATTCTCCATCATCTTGTTAAATAATACGGACAGGTATCCATCCATCTGTCCATCCTCATTCCCCAGCCGTACCGGTTCTGTCGGGTATGATTACGGGCGTCAAGCCCGCAGGAAAAGGTAGAATCCAGTCACTGTAGTAACTAACTACGTATGGACCTCCTTCTGTAAGGTTTGGTTCGGCAGGGAATCAAGATTCTGGAAAGTCACTTGAGATGAATGTTGTTTGCGCTTGCTCCGGGCGCTGTACATTGTTTTCCTTTTCCATCCCCCAACCCTCATTCCTGGTGGCATCATGCCGACACCTAGTTGCTGAAGAATTGCTCTTGTTTGCCATTTTCGCCGTCAAAGATGGCTAGAACCCTCCGAGGGGGTGTGGGAGCAGACCAGACCAGTGAGGAACAGTGGCGCGTCTAACGGGTTAATATCTCGTCGAGCCATTTCTCCATCTATAGAGCTAATTTGGCCTAGAGGCGCCGCTAGTGACTCCGTCCCCTGGTGCCCGGGGCGAAGCTTCCGAAATCTACTCCGTACTCGAGAATAATGATTCAAACTCATGCTTGTGAATCGGGGGGGAAGGGAAGGGGATGGGGATTCTTCTTCTCTTCTGTCAACGTCTGTCTTTTGGTCTTGCTGACCTCTGAATTGGACTGATAGAATCTTCGAAGCTTACCGAGATGTACCTAATTTACTTAGTTGGTAGCAAGTGGTAACTTAATTTGGTTTATAGAGGGGCGGAGGGGCCGGAGGAGGGAAGAACAGGAGACGCGCGAGAGGAACCTGCCGTGTGCCCCGTCCCAGTTTTAGCTAGTACTATGTAGTTCTAGCTGTTTAATATTGCTATTGCTTGCTGTCGCTGATGATAATGATGATGATGATGATGATGATGATGATGATGATGATGATGATGATGATTCTGATGTTGATCAATTGATTTCAAGGAACTGATGCAAGAGCAAGGACAAGAACAAGAACTATCCCACAACTATGTAAGATTCTAGGATAAACAAATTGGACTCATAACATTCTACTCTGGTACCTTACCGACGGGATGTGGATTGCTCAAAGCATGCACCTATGCATGCATGGCTTATTCCCACTGTCTCAAAGTAATAATCAATCGCCTCTCTCCCTCCCCCCCCAATCCTGAAGTTGAAGGGAGGCACCATAGTGACACACACAATTGATACCCCGAAACCGTCCGATAACCGCCCTTTCTCCCCTATCGCTTGGGGGCCCTTTCATCCATCATCGCCCATCGGCGCCATCACCGCCCGGCTAGTTTCCACTAGTCGGTATTCCATACCAGATGTTACCATACCGACCAGGGGGCGTGGGAAAGAGGGAGAAGGAAAAAAAAAAAAAAAACGGGGCAGAATCCATACCCAAGCCTGATCAAGAACAGCAGCATTATGTCCATTGTTGTTTTACTATCCAATCAGTCTGTAGGAGTACAGTTTACCCCATTCGTACTGGATCAAGTTCAATCACATCAACGAAAAGGGAGAAATACATGGTAGAAGAAATTATATCCAACAGAAGAATAGGAGATGATAAAAGCATAGACACAAAGAAGAACCCCCCAAAAAGTCACGAGAAAGAGAAGGAAAGGATCGAAGAGAGAAAAAAGGAGCCAAAAGGACCCAGACCGGGACCGACCAGACCGAGCCATATCACGCCTAAACCAAACCAAGCCAAACCAATCCATCGCCTCTGTAGTAACAAGTGGTGGTAAAGTGGTGGTAACTTAGGGAGTGCCTGAAAGAGTGAGTGGGCGAGTGAGCACTGGCATTGATTGTACTGTACTGGCACTAACACGGGCATTGGCCCTGGTATTGCATAGTGGGAGGATGAGGAGGAGGAGGAGGAGGAGGAGGAGGAGGAGGAGAAGGAGCAGCAGCAGCAGCAGCAGCAGCAGTAGTAGTAGTAGTAGTAGTAGTAGCAGCAGCAACAACAGCTTTGCTCCTCACTCAGCCTCTAGTCTCTTCTCTCCTCTTTCTCCCGCTTCCTCTTCTCTCCGCCTCGTTTTCTCCTCTCCTCACTGTCTTCTACTCTCCTCCTCCTACTCCTCCTCCTCCCTCCTCCTCCCTTTCGTTTTTTCCCTTTCTTTCCCTCGTAGGCAGGCCGTAGCAGTAGTTGGTTCATACCAGTCCTGGTGTGTTCACTGCTCACCTCTGTCCTCAATTCCTCCGATCTCATCCATCCTCCCCTCCTCAATCCTTTCCTTCCCTACGGCTTCGGCCTCCCAATTCCCTGCTGCTACTGCCACGCGCTTGGTCAATTTCAAGGGAATTTGCTTGAAATCTTTCTTTTTATTCGATTATTTTGATCGCCTCCGTGTCTCATCACTGGATATATTCCTCCTCTTTCGCGTACCGACGCATCTTCAAACCGTCAGTTAGCCTGCAGCCCCCAGTCTGTCTTCTTCTCTCTCCCTCCCCGGAATCCCTGGTTCTTCCCTCCCGTCACCACCAAACCAACTTCGCTCGACGCCGCTTCGCCGCCTCCCTCTTGCCCCCCCTCTTCCGAGGGTACTTCTGCAACCGTTTGGCACCACCTCCGAATCCTCGTCCTCGCGATCGCTCGAGTAGCTGTCCCCTGCCCTTCGTCTGCCTTCCACCGCAGTCGGTATCTGCCCCAGTCTTGTCACCCCTGTTCCCTGGGTCCCATCTTCATATGCAGGGTCGAGCTTGGTAAACATTGGGCTTGTTGTGAGACACCTCCCCGGACCCATCATCAATTTCGCCTTTTCCACTCCCTCTCCCCTGACAAGCATTTGTCTCGTATCACTGTCTGTTCTGCCTATTATCGGACAGTCTCCTTTTCTCAATCTTTTCAACCAGTTCAATTCTCTCGGGCTAACCTCATGTGTGAAGTCAGTTCTCAGGTCTCCTGATCACCGCATCCGATATCTGTCTTGTCTGCGGTCTCTCGCCTTCATTGTCCGACTTGCCCGACTTGTCCGACTCCCGCAGCCATGGCCTCCTCATCATCCAATGTCGTCGGTGTTCACTATCGTGTAGGGAAGAAGATCGGCGAAGGATCGTTTGGTGTGATCTTCGAGGGAACAAATCTCCTGAATAACCAACAGGTGGCGATAAAATTTGTACGAGATACCGCGCACAGGTGGACAAGGTCTTTTTCCTCCACGATGCTAATCGTCAACAGGAACCCCGCAAGAGTGACGCCCCGCAACTTCGTGATGAATATCGGACCTACAAGATCCTTGTCGGGTGTCGTAAGTCTATCCTGGTCCATCCGCTCAGAATCAGGGCTAATACCGCGCAGCTGGCATTCCCAATGTCTATTACTTTGGTCAGGAGGGCCTCCACAATATCTTGGTCATCGACCTGCTTGGCCCCAGTCTGGAGGATTTGTTTGAT